AAAAAAATAATTAAGGAGCTGAAGACAATATTTCAAAGGGTATCTCGGGAAGACAAAGTAAAATATTAAATGTGCAAAGAGCTGGAGTCAGAAAATCAAAACAGCTGAATGCGCTAGACATTTCTTAAGCTGAAGAAACAAGAAAAAATTCAAGCCTCAAATTGCAATACTTAAGGATGCTTTGGGCAGAATATTAAATGATCCAGGAAGCATTAAAAGAAGATGGAAAGAGTTTACAGTCATTGTACTAAAAGGAATTGGCTGACATAGAAGAATTTAATTCAAAAAACTATGAGATATCATCTCACCCAGTAAGAATAGCAAAATTTAACAGAACAGCAAGCAACAAATGCTGGCAAGGTTGTAGAGAAACTGGACCCCGTATTCACTGTTAGTGGAAGCATAAAATGATACGACCACTGTGAAAGACAGTGTGGTGCTTTCTCCAAAAGTTGCAAATAGAGATACCATTTGACTAAGCAATTCCACTACTGAGAATGTACCCCAAAGAGACCATAACTGCCACTCATGCAGATATATGCACACCCATGTTTATCGTAGCTTTGCTCACAACAGCAAGTAGTTGGAAATAACCTAAGTGCCCATCAACAAACGAATGGATAGAGAAGCTGTGGTATATTCACACAATGGAATACTACGCTGCATTGAAAAACAAGGAACTCATGCAATATTATTCAAAATGGATGATCCTGGAGGACATCATGCTGAGTAAAGTATCTCAGTCACAAAATGACAAATACTGCATGGTACCACTGTTTTAAAACAGGACTGACTTCGGGGTTGGGGTGGTGTTGTTATGTGCCATCGAGTTACCTGCGACTCATAGAGACCCTATGTACAAGAGCTCTAAACGCTGTTCTATCCTGTGCCAACCTAGCCATCTCAAACACACTTTTCCCCACCGCTCCAGTCAGAATTGATCCATCTCATCAAAGGTCTTCCTCTCTTTCACCGCCCCTCCACTCTGCTAAACATGATGTCTCTTTCCAAGGACCAGTCCCTCCTTGCAACATCAAGGAGGTCAATGGAAGATGGGAGTGGGGGGAGACTAAGATGTGTTCAATAATGTATACTGCGTTCAAACAGATGAGGGAGAAAACTGTTTAAAAGGGATATGTTATTAGGTATTTTTGTCATCACGGAAGTCCAGAGCAAAGGCTGCATAGTGGAGTGAACCTGGGGGAGGGATTGTAAAACAATGAAAAAATTTTTCTTTTACTTTTCCGAGAGAGGAGTGTACTGGAGGTAGGGGTGGGCAGGGAGAAAAGTGCAACAATGAATTAATGGAAATCCAGTCTCTGTAAATTTTCATTGAAATTAATAATTTAAAAAATTTTAAAAAGAATTTAATGGAACAACATATAAGCAAGAGCCTGTGGTGATGAAGAAGTTCAAGCTACTCTGAAAGAATTGGCAAAAAACAAGGCTCCAGGAATTGATGATAATTGACATATTTCAACAAACAGATGCTCCCCTGGATGTACTCACCAAGTTGTGCCAAGAAATCTGGAGGACAACCACCTGACCAAACTGACTGGAAGAGATCCACATTTGTCCCCATTTGAAAGAAAGATGACCCGAGAGTATCGAAATTATTGAACAATATCATTAATATCACATGCAAGCAAGATTCTGCTGAAAACTATCAAAAAACTACTGGAACAGCGCATCAACAGAGAACTCTCTGAAGTTCAGGCTGGGTTTAGAAGAGGCC